AGAGATGGCTCCAGCTTTACCAAGTTTCTGCGTCTTTGGGCCATCTCCTTGGCTCAAGAACGCAGAAACGTGGTGGAGCTGAGCATTCTCCTCTAACGAGTGGGGTCCCCCTGGGAACAGCCCTTTTTCGAACCGTTTTCTGCATGTTGTATTAACGTATGTACGGACCACGAAAGCACGCATTTCGTTCTTGCTAAACGGTTCCAATTACCTGTGTCACCTGTCGTCCCGTTGGTCATCGATTTGCTCGAGCGGGCGCCAGCAACGTCTCCATTCGTCCCTGTCGCGTGCCAGAGTTGCCCAATGAACCCTCCTTGCTCGAAGGACATGAAGCTGTTTTTGTGAAATCCTGACCGTCGGGTCGGCGGTCGTCAAGGTGTTCGTTTAACGTCCCGAGGAATCCAGCCGGTAGCCGCTCTGGTCCAATGGTCATCACAAAATCGCATGACGTGTCCGGCCCAACTGATCTTCGACTCCTTGGCAAAAACGGCAGCGTCCCTAATCTTCGGTCGTTGGCATAGTTCTGAACTCCGGATTCCCCCCTACACTTGCGTGTATCGGGTTACTCCTAGCATCGTCCTCTCGATAGCTCGTTGTATAAGGCTGACCGTACGCTCGTCCTGCCTGCGCAGAGTCAAAGTCTCCGAGGCGTAAGTTATGGCAGAGAAGGACTGCGGAATCGAAGCGGTGGGCACAGAGCCGGATGTTCTTCTTCTTCTTCACTACTTCTTCACTGTTCTTAAATGCTCCCCATGCGGCTCGTTTCCTCCTGCTCAGCTCTGGAGCTAAGTCGTTCATCATATTGATTTCCCGACTTAAATCAAGTAGCTGGAGCATTCGTTGACGTTCGTTCGCTTGAGCGTGAATGAGGCATCAGGAACCAATCCGTCTCATAACGTTGAGTTCAGCTGCAGGCCGACCTTACCACATACGAAATCGCCTAGAATTCGTTCCGTCTGCTCGATTTTCGGCCTTATAAGAACGATGCCGTCAGCAAAACGAAGTGTTGTAGTTGCCGGCCGTCGACCTTCACTACCATGTTTTCCCATTCCAAATGACGCATGACGTTTTAGGGAGCGGCATTGAAGAGTTTGGGCGAGATGGTGTCGCCCTGTCTAACCCCTCTGTTGACGTCGACGATGACCTCTTTGTAGAATTGCGAGATTCTTGTCGTAAAGTTGCTGTCGAGCTCACGAAGAACACTTATGTACTGAGCAGGGACGCCCTGGTTGCCCAAGGCTTCGACAACCCTTTTGTCTCCACAGAGTCAGAGGCTTTCTTCAAGCCGAAGAAGCAAAACAAAGTTGCGTGTTGTCTCGTGAAACTTCAATGAGTCTCGTAACCGTGTGGATATGGTCGATCGTGCTGAACCCTATTCGGAACCCTGCTAGCACGCATGGCTGCCCTTCATCTAGTATTTTGCCGATCCTGTTAAGGATGACTCGAGTGAACAGCTTGTAGATTACAGACAGCAGGCAGATTGGGCGATAGTTGCCATGCCGTCCAGGTCTCCCTTTTTGTACAGCTGTACGGTCCTGCTGGTTTTCCACGGAGTGGGTACCTTGCATTCCGACAGGTAGCACGTGAAGATTCGAGAGTTCCGATGACAAGTGGCAGTGTATTCTACAGATGTTCCGGTTTGACCCTGTCGAGACCGAGTGCTGTACAATTCTTTACCGCGACTTGATGGCATGTCGGACTACCGAAGAGAAAACTAAAGGAACGACGTATCCTTCCTCTTGCACTTGATAACTGGGCAGATGGACATGGCTATCGTAGAGATTCGAGTAGAACTCGTAGATGACTTTTTTAATGCCCTTCGGGATGCAGTAACTAGTCTATCCGGGCGTCGGAGGCATGTCATCTTGGTCTTGTAGCAGGCAGACTTCGGCGGGCATCGCGGATGCTCCTCCCAGCCTCTGCTGCTTCTGCTTTTACTGCCTGCTACTCTTCGCTCCTTGAGATCGTCTTTGCCGCCTCTTTGCAACGCTTCTCAAGCTCACACGTGAGTAGATGATTGCATGCAGCTTGTGCGGCTCCACCCTGGCGTATCAGCTCGAGAGTTTCCGGAGACAGACGTCCTCTAGTGACTTTCAATCTGCCTTCCTGCCACAATCGTGACGATGTTCAACGAGAAGATAGTCTTCCTCGTCGATGTTTTTGATGATGGAATCCTCTCATACACTGACGAGAGAAGTGAAGTGGTTCCAGTTGATAACTGTCCTGAAGCTTCGCTTCCTACACTTTGCTGCTTTCTCAACACCCATCGAAAAGTGGAACTTTGCGCGGAGGAGCCGATAGTCCGATCCCGTGCAGAACTTTTAAACAACAGCGACATCGGTTAGGCAAAACCTTCGATTGAAGAAGATGTGGCTATCTCGTCATGGAACTGCTCATCAGGTGACTCCCAAGTCCAACGAAAGTGGGGGGTGGACTTTTGGAACTGCGAGTTACCAGGGATGGTGTTGGTCGACATGACAAATTCCGACCTTCTCTCACTCTGCTCATTCCATTCCATTCCGCGAGCACCGATGTGGAGCTCTTCAGCCGTTCTTTTAGGCCAGTCTTGGCGTTGAAGTCGCCGACGATGACCTTGAAGGAGGTATGATCTTCCCTGTAGAGATTCTTCAATTCTATATAGGATGCTTGGTGTTCTTCTTCGTCGTAGCTGGATGTTGGTACGTAGACGACGAAGATTGTCAAAGCAGCAGTTGAACCACATCTTCTCAATCTCAAACGTCCGATTCGGGTCGTTAGGCTTTCGTACGAATCGATGTTTATGGCCACGTGCGTGTTGACGAGAACACCCACACCGCCAACGCCTCCGCTGTCACATGTTCCGAGTACAGTTCCTCTCTAGGATCGAAAACGGCGTGTAGCGGCGATGCCTTCTCGTCTCGGTCAGTTCGATGACCTCGCACTTGATCTTGCTGGCCTGCATCATCAGATCTTCGAAAGAGCTTTGGATGCAAGCGTTCGTGCGTTCAATGCACAGATCGCTCTTAGTCCTTCTTCGTTTGACACGTTGACGACATCGCGTGTTTTGGCATTTTGCACCGCGTGGGACATGAGCCGTTTTGCAAGCGCGCCATCCGCACCTTACTTTCGCCTATTTTTGATTCAAACTGCACAGCAACTTGAACCTTATAGAATTATATCGGAAAGGATAAAAGCATAAAAAGTAACTGTATGAATGGCAGCAGATTTTTGTTTAGAAGAACGCATAATGACCACGAAGAAGCAAAAAACATCACTTCAGCCGCGAATGATGTTAAAAGCACTTATATTTGAGTTCTTCAATCAAATACAAATATTTTGAAACTTACGAAATTTTTGTATTAACTGATTCTACAATTTTACATATGAGTGTTTACGACAGTGAAAGGAATACTAGGAAACAATCAAAGTGAAGGTTTTGTGCCTCTAGAAAATCTTTGCTAAATCAAAGGATATTTGAGCACTCTGGCCCCGCATGGTTCATAGTTATGCTAGCGTATTATCTACTGAATGAATACAAAAACTCGAGAAGTAGGAGCTCGAGCACAATAAAAATGAATGACATAGTTCTGACGCGTAAGAATGTCCAATGCGGTGCAAAAATTCTGACGCGCATGCGCGTCAGCCTGTCGTCAACGTGTTAAGCAGCCTATCCGGGCCCTGTGGTTCTAGTAGCCTCTCTTGAGCGGTCCTACTCAACGCTGCCGTATAGGGGGCTCCTACAGGTCAAAGGGAATGAGGCCCATTCAAACGATTCCAATAGTAACATAAAAGTTGTGGAAGATAGTTTTGCTGGCTCGATCCTCCATGGCGAATAAATTTTGTATTTTACCGGTTGGTATATCCGTTTCCAATAGATGTTTTTCCACCTACTCCCTGATTCACGAGGCTGGGGCGATTCGCGTGGCTCGAAGACGAAGATGCCGTCTTCGAACATTTTCAGTGCTTATCCAAGTCGCGGTTCTGTGAGCGCTGCTTTTTAGCGGAACATTAGAAGAGCACCAGCTGCACGACGATATGCAGTTGGTTACTATTCCCCACGAAAGCATCGAACGGCAACTGTAGTGAAAGAGGCTGTTTGATGAGCAGTGTGTCTCAGACAGATGTCTTATTTATCCATACTGTAGAAATCAAATGCTCAATCGATATCGGAGAAACAGAAAAGGTTGTAGCCATTCGCATCAAAGAACACCTGACTAGCATGAGACGCGATACTCGGTCAACGGCTCTGGAAGGCATAAGAATGAAGGCACACTGCCCTTGAATTCGCATAAAATGAAAGGCGTTGGTACAGGAGACGGAAATCGTTTGAAAAGCACTGGAAGTGTTCTAAATTTCCGACGAAATCCAGCGGTTACGGCCTGGATGGCCCCCTTCAATAACATGTGATCGCCGTTTCGTCGTTTCTACGAGTTGTAGAGTGGAGCGTACACACGTGCATCTCTTAAATATTACTGAATGCAGGGCACATTTTGCTATGGTTTAGTTCTTACCGACCGACGCTTTTGTGTGGTAGCGGGATTCCCGTACTGGCTAAGTTCAAAATTCATACTGTTTGTGGGATTCCCGATGGAGTGTTTGAACCGTTAAAGAAAATAAGGCGCTCGATGGATCATGTCATGACCTAACCTTGAAGTGCGTTTTCACAGACGACGATTTTGCCGAAACGTTAAACCGATCGAATAAGTGTTCCACATACCACCCTACTTCGACGGCAGAAAAACGAACACAGGTAAGAACAAAAATGCTGAGGGTTAAAGAGTGGAGGACCTGGAGGCTCATTTTCCTCTGTACTCATTACCAGTCCATATTGACATCACATCTCTCTGATCCTGACGTAAACATTTGAATGAGAAACGTTAAGAGTCTCACTGTCTCAGCTCTCCACACCTCAACTTGCTTTGAAAAAGCTTTTTGGTAGTACAGAGTCGCTGCCAAAATCATGTGGTTCACAAGAGTGAAAAATAGTAACCAGGTAATAATCGAAATTCCAACGTTACCTGTATCCAGTCTATAAGTGCTTCCCATACTAAAGTGAATCCACTACGATAAGGTGTAACGTCAAGACGATGCGCAAAGGCATTCTCCATGCAAAGAACCTACAAGAAATCAATGTTTGAATGTTAACACCAGATTTGCAGTCACTTTATATTTTTCTAGAATACTGTACACTGTACCACTCTCCGCTGACGGCATCGTCCTTACAACCAGGGTCAACCGCCCGTTGCGCAAAGAACAACGAGGGGGTCGTACATGGCCAGTGGAAGAGGATGGGGTCGTAGTCTCAAGCACCATTTACAAAATTAGGAGCTGCCAAGGCATGGCCAAGTGGCAAAGGAGAACAGACTTTCAACTGTCACTGCGACTACTAACACATACAATTGAACAGCGCATTCCAGAGCGAGATTTATCACTAAAATACGTCATGTATCAGCGAACACGAGCAAGAAATTACTTTCAGAGAAATCCCGTGCATTTAAACCGAATCAAAGTGGAGGGGAGTGTAGCGAATTAGGCGGATATGCCTTCAGAGTCTTACTAGGAACTTCTGCTGGGAGAGGTTCTCCTTTAAAGATATTTCAGCATCTACTATTATATAAAGTACTGATCTCACTTTTTCAGTGGGTTTTTGCCGTATCCTAAAAAGTCATTGAGGGAAAAAACGAAACAAAGGGACAATTTTTTTAAGAATTGAATATATATCTTTAAAAACTTTTTAGAAAGGAAACAATTTGAAGCTTTCGAATGTTTGTGCCCCAACTCATGAGATTACTTTTGAAGAAAAATATAACCTTCCAAATAAAGAGGTTTGTATCTTAATGTAATTGCTGGAAGGTACAGTTATTCAGTATATAAAAAAAGTTTAAAAAACTTGGTTGCTTTCTGGAAGTAGAAATGTCTGTGATTAACACCGTGCCTACTTTATCGCAGAAATTTGCGGATTAATGAACAAAATTTCATGTAGCCTCGATCTCCGTCCTTTGAGCGCGCGGACTTACCACTGTTCATCTCTTGAGGGTCCATACACCGACCGTGTGCCTAAAATATGCAAAAAAACACAGTATTAAAACCACGGGCGTACAAATGCCCTCTGAAAGGGAGGGGGTCGTAAGAACTTCGAAATCTGCCCAACGCACAGCTGACCCTGCTCACAACACCAAGCATAGAGAGGAAGAGCAAGCGCTGGCTGGCTTTGCTTACTGTAGCAGAATGGGTGGCTTTTGACAGGTTTTCAGATTTGTAACGACGATTTCATGAAGCGCAAATGAAACAGGCAAGTTTGAAATTTTACCTTGTTTACCTTGCATTTTACCTTGCATTTTTAGCTTCATTTACTCTTCTCCCCGCTCTACGGCTGCATTAGGAAACTTTTACGGCGCACTTGTATTGTGTCACCGGCTGACTGTTGGAATTATCCACTCGCAGCTGAACCTAGCGAAGGCAAGGATTATACCGTCAAATTAACGCCAATCACTCAAACCGAAGTTCAGCACAATTCATCTTTAAAAAAAACCCCGACGTGAAAATCACTGTAAATTCAATTGAGCGCTAACAATTTGCTATGAAAATTATATCTTGGGAAGGATACAACTAACCAGTAGTAACCAGGTTAACATTGATCCGGCAACTACTGTCACAACAAGAGAGATAACAAGCCAATTTTCCAACGGAAACGAAGTCACCATTCCCTGAAAATATCGGATTCTACCGTAAGAAGGGCATTTAGCAAATGCACAAAACAGTTGGCAAAAAATCCGCTGTAAACACGATGCATAGAGGATGGATAAGAACTACAGTAGCAAAAGCGTATCAATCGCGATTTTTAATTTAAAATACCAGCAGTGAATGTATGTCCTGTATCTATTTTGACAATTTGGTGTTTCCTCTTCGATTTCCATATGAGACGTCTCAATTCCTAAGCGGACAATAACTAGGACAACACGACGACATAGACAATAGCCTCTCAATAAGCAGTCACTACATTACTCCGATGTTTGCTTCCGTTACATAGCAGTACGAGTCAGAGCCTCCATGAATCTTCCGTCGACCACCATTACTGTGTTCAGTAGACGACTTGACGGAATCATTATCTTAGCACGTGGGAGCATTCCTTCTGTGATCTTACGGGCAAAACTTGCTTGAAGATACGAAGATGCGGAGCAGGGCTCGAATTGAGCTCGCTCGTTGCTTGATACCTCAAATTGCCAACGAACATACTTGTTTGCCCTCGGCCTGCAGACCTTAGGGGAGGGTTCACAAGCATGAGAGTGTCTGAATTCGACCGATGCGAGCAGGAATGGGCTTCAATTCTTCGACGGTTCCCTGTGTTAAGAAGATATTCCATTGTCGGGTTGGTCGTGAGTAAGAAGAGCAAACCGGATCAATGCTAGTCAATACACAACTCTAGGTATAGAGATGGATTCATGTCATTATAGCAGCAGAAATTATGAATTGGAGAGACCTTGGACTTCCGCTGTTCACGACAGATACTGATTTGACAGTGAAAAGTGTCTCGAACTCCATGAGATTCCATTGATGCTTCAATCCACAAGAGTAAGAAATAAGGAGCATTGAGGCCAGTTTGAGCGCTCAACCACAGCACTAAGATTGTCCGAATGTGGTACCAACAGAAATTCATCATAGTGCTGAATTGGCAACATAATTTTCTCAGTTTTATTCCCCTGTAAAATGCTTGACGTTGAGCATGCAGAACACAAGCTATTTTTCCAAACATTATCGAAAAACTGACGCGTTGAACAATCGCTCTTGAAAGACTTGGACTAAATCGACCACATCTATTTACACGACCGGGATAATGATTTTTCAGGGAGATTTGCATCAACGCGAATGCGGCCACTCCAAGGAGTAACGTTTCCTGTTTGATAACCTCCACAGTACGTTGTTGTCTTGGGTCTTTTCGGCCCCATTGTTTTATGAATAATTTATCTTGTTACCGTAATTTTTGCTACCCTGTATGCAACGCCTTGCCAGTTTACGGGAAGAACAAACCTGTAGTGTTGCCCAGACGTGGAACCAATCACACATACAATTGGATATATATACAACAAAAGACACGGCGTATAGCGTGTGCATTGTTCTTCCTGAAGGAAAAGGCATTTACTAGTTGATCGGTTCAAAAGCAGAGAGGTTTTTTTTGGGGGAGATCTATCGAGTGTTATTCGTTTTCTTCCTTTGAATCTGAAGACAGTTAATTTGATACACTCTATGAGTACGAGTTGGGCATTCACAAAGTTGGAACACTTGACAGTGGTACATCACTTCCAGCACGAATTTACCACGCATTACCCTTGGAAAAAGAGTGGAGGAATGGAATTGCGAGTTGACTGGCTCTGAAAGTCATAGTATAGACCAAATTAATTCTGCGATGAATTCTGAACATCATTCGTGAATTGATAAACCCTCAGTTAACTTCCCCTATGATCTTAAACGGAAGTAGAATGCGTTGCTGGTCTTAGATAGAGGTTAAAGCAAGTCCCCCTTCCCTGATCTCCTGCGTCTATCAAGTCGGTTCCAAGTGTTTTCATTGAGAAAAACATAGCAGTATTAACTATATGCTTTCACATTTAAGCACAACGCCAACCGCCGTTCTCTTTCAGGTGATTACAATACTCTCTTGTGTCCATATCTTCAGCCTTTGTTTTTATTTATTCATTTTTCGCAATCGTAGCTGTAGCGTATGTCTCATGTTATTTATTTCCCCTCCTTTTTCACTTTTTTTTCTCTTTTTTTGTATCAAATAGCTATGCGAGCTCCATAACCCCTGAGAACCCAGCGTCTGCTGTCATAGCGTGGACTTCGGAGGGTTAGTGGACCCTATAAGTTGGTAGTTGGAGATACATATAAGCTGACGACTTGTAGTGTTGGCCGGCCAATGGTCCCTCCTTATTTATCCACCGTTTCTGCCTTCCGTACTCCCACTCCCCTCCCTGACCATCGCAGCCAGTCCTAAGCCTTACAGCCGCTTTCAGATTGTTGTCAGTCATACGTATCGTGTAAATCATTACCTTTAACCACTATCATCCTACCTCTATGTATACATATTTATTTAGTTATTCATTTATTCACCTCCTGCATTTACGTTTGTTTATTTTCGCTGCATCAATTATTATATACATACGCTCTAATTTTCTAAAAAAAATCGCTAAGCAAATAAATTAATAAATAATAAATCACCCTTCAAATAATGTATTCGGCGATTAATCCTAGCATTAGAACGAATTGTCCTTCACTCATTTCGATGGGAATCCTTGTTCTAAGCTCCATCTACGGTTTTCTTTTCTTCTTTTTTATTCTTAGTCAACTCGGCATCAAAAAATCATTATCCACCGTTGCGACTCCACAAATTCGATCTCGTGGTGTTTTCAACGATCTGTCTGCCTCAGATATCAACCCTGGGGAAGGGAATGCTTGGCTAGACCGCGTACGAGCCGGAATCTAAACTCCCAACCGTTCGCGTGATGAGCAGCCCCACTTCCCTCCCCCCACCTCATACACACACAAGTTCCATGTTTGCTAATCATGTATAAAACCTTTATAAGCATCTACCACTCGTTGGAGCTCTTGTTAATCTAGGGGTTGAATACATTTTTTTCTACTACGCGTTAGCAGAATTGAAATAAAATTAGCTCTTTTATGAGGTCTCAAATCTCTGAAAGGAGTGTTCACTATGGCCGGAGAGCGGTACGGTTTTGATGACGAGGCGGTCTCAACAACACCACCTGGCGCGATGGCGTGTCTACTCCACCAAGACATTCGATGACGTCATTAAAACGGCCCGTCCTCCGGCCATCGTGATAGATGTCTTTGAAAGACGGTTAACGGAATACTTGAACTTGGTCCTTTAACCTGCTTCACGCGACGCTTTCGTCCGCGCTCTATCACCTTATCAGCGAGTCATGATCGATATGATCTCACTTATTCAAACTTTCGCCACACTGTAGTTAGTTCACCCTCGGAGTCCCTCTCCCTTACAAAGCTTAGTCCTGGCTCCCAGATCACTCCTTGAGGTTTGGAGCCGAGCCAAGCGCTGTATTCTAAACGTCTGTGGTCTCCGTCATTCGTGGCGACTACAGAAGGAGGTTGAAGTACTCCGTAAACCTCAGCAGACCCCTCAAGTACGGTTGTCATAATTTGTCTATCACAACATAACAGGAAATCTCATTTATTACGAGGGAAGGATACCAAGTCGAAGTGGCCATCCGTAATGAAACCCATACTCGGAATGTATTTTTGGACGCTGATCTCAAATCCACTCTCCAACTTTGCGAAACGATTCTCTGAAAAAAGTTACGGAGTTAGTTTCAAATGAATGTTCATTATAAGAGACACCTTCAACGGAGGGCTATCAGCGGCTTCTTAGCCGAGTGCTAGTGGTTTGCTATTATTGATTATGCATGTTTTAGCAAAAAAGAACATTTAGTGTTGAACTCAACACACAACACAACACATCGCTGTCACGTGTTTGGGGCTCACTTCAAGCATGAATCGCTTTCTTCACGAAGTTCCCGATCTATTATCACAGGTGTCGAGATGTTGCCACGTCACCAGAGGTGACGTAATTTCCGGTGAGAGCTATGAGTAGTATAAACGGTAGAGATACCACTATCAAATCAATAGTGTCCTTACACTGGGTATGTTCTGTCCCCAAGTGGTGGTGTCACTGAAGAACATTGGTTCTTGTGACATTGAGCGCAGCCCATCCAGGAAGGAGCATATTTGCTCATGAATTGTCGGAATCGCCCACTTGACGAAGCAGAATGGCCAATCGTACAAAGAAACTGCAAAGCGGTTTATGCTTGGAGTGGGCCTCCAAGCACGTGACTGCGTTGTATATTGTCAACACTAAATGTTCTTTTGAGCCAAAAACTCATAATTACAAAAAGCAAAGCTCTGAATACCACCAACACCTGAACCATGGTCTCCCCAGCATAAGGCGCCATCACTACCAGTCGCCGATGTCGCCGCTTACAGCCCTGCGTAGAAGGCGTCTTTTGTACAGAACATTCATTTGAAAGAACCTCCGTAACTTAACTTTTTTCAGAGAATCGTTTCGCAGATTTGGAGAGTGGATTTGAGATCAGCGTCCGAAAATACATCTCTGAGTATAGGTTTCATTACAGATGGCCACTTAGACTTGGTATTCTTCCCTTGTTAGTCAGCATAAGGCATGCTTCAAAATCAACCGCAACATAAGGGAAATCTCACGGCCACATCCAACCCATCTCGCAAGGCTGCTATAAACTTCTAGTATAGGAATCTACAGCATTACAGACTCCCTTCCTCGTATCAATGCATGAACTTGCAGTCCAGAAATGTTCGAGGGCAACATTAGGATAGACTTGCCCTAGCGCCCGCATAAGAAGTATTCAGTAATAGACTAATACCCGGGATGGTAAAAAAGTCTCGAATTTGAATAAAAGAAAAGTAAAGTAATTGAAAGGAACATTAAAAAAGATTTTTTCAATGTTCCTTTCAATTACTGATCAGTACCCATGATCTGCCACGTGGAAGATCATGGCTGTCGATCACACTTCTCCGCAACGTTATATATATATGATCGGATTGAGTTCCTTAGCCCCATTTATGCCGATTTCACAAGTTCGCCTTCGAGCGATTATTGGCGTTGCGGCACAGGAGCGACGGAAACCGTCCACAATATGAACAGCTCATTGAGCGTACACCACTTTCAACAGTGTCAAGCGCTGGTTCAACCGCTTTAAAAGAGGAGAAGCGGCTTTTGAAGACAAGCCAAGGTTGGGATGCCCTGAAACAGTGGAAGACTCCACCATTCGGGGAGCAGTCAAAGAGGATCCGAGGTTAGCATCCGCAGCCTTGCGACAAGGCTCGGGTGTACCCATACAGCAGTGCTCGGTCGCCTTCACACAGTCGGCTACATGGATCCCTCATGTCCTGACGGACGGCATGCGGTTTACCCAGATATCCATCTGCCAGTCTCTCCTTCTACGCTCGCACCGAGGAGTTTTTGGAAGACTTGACCACTCGAGGTGAGAGCCGGGTCCTATACAATTCTAATAAGCACCGCTCCGTGTGGCTCCCTCGAGGAGCAGACGCACCGACGCAAGCGAAATCGGTCCTTCACCCTGAGTAGTGTCTTCTGTGCTGCTTCTAAAATTCGCGAGGAAGGTTGTGTTTCTAGCTGCTCCCGCAGGGATACACCGTCACTGGCAGCATTTACGCCAGTCAGGTCGGTTGCGGACGCTGTTCGAGAAAAACGACCAGGACAGGCTTGTGTCTACCCACTCCACGATAACGCCAGGCTCCGTATAGCTAAAGAAACCCGTGCAAAATTGGAAGAGCTGAACTGGCACCCACCACATTCCTCTGACCTTGCCCCCTATGACTATCACTTATTTTACTCCCTAAAGCGAGAGGTTACGATGAAGTGTGGGTGCAGCGTGGAAGTATTATGCACCAGTAGGACCAGTAGACAGGGGTCGAAGGATGCGAAATGTGGCATTTTTGCGGCCAAGGGTGAGCTAGTTGCGGAATCGGTTTGAATTGTGCAGGAGACCTCTTATTGCGTTGTTAACTCCTCCTTTATCAGGTCAATGGGTAAAGAAAGTGGTCCAATTTTGCGCGTTCTCGACGGATTTCTTTGCTTTTCTCGCCACGGCACTATTCAGCATCCCTGCTTCTACTATGAAGCCAGTTCAATCCCTCGCTTCAGGGAATTCCTGGCGAAGAAGAAAGTTACCAAAGTTGAAGACCTTGAAAGAGCGGTCAGTGATTTCTTTGACTCTCAGTCTCCCCAGTTCTGGGAGAAAGGGGTCCCAGTTCTAGTAGAAGGGGATCGCTGATCAGCCCATTGGGTGGAACTCGGTAGTGAGTAACAATAGTGATTACAATGTTGAGTAAATTCCATTGTATGCTGAACAAAAATAAAGCCAAAAAAATGTCAAACGGCTCAGGACTTTCTTACCATCCTAACAGATGACGGTTTTGGACCTTAGCAGTTTCGTCACAACACACTTGATCCCTTCTACCACGACATCATAACTTATATGCAATTTAGTGCATTATTCCATAGAAGAGTATTAAAAAATACCTTTAAGCATTGGAGTACCTGGCGACGCTGAAGCGAATCCTGACGTATAAAGTGTATTAAGAAGTGCCAACACATTACCTGTTTTCATAGTTGGGGAACTCAGGACATCAGTCATCACTGAAAATCGAAACTAATAGATAAAATGCAGTCTTTTTCAAAGCAGACTCAGGAGCGAGCAATTTCTGCAACAGTATATAGCAGTTGCGTGGTTACAATGGATCGCAGAGGTCCAGCAATTACAGTACCCCAACCTTTCAAAGGAGAGACTGAATGACATCACAAAATTGGCCAGGATAAGATAGAGTTGATAGAAATTCAAGAAGAATGAATAATTAAGTGGCAGTTGAGAATTCGGAGCACACACACTATATTCTTTACCTTATTCGAAAGCCTAATGTCTGGTATCCGTGACGCCGCAGTGTATACGTGGGACGCAAAGAAACGATGGGCCGGACATGTGGTCAGACGCATGGATGATCGGTGGACCACACGCGTTACGTTCTGGTATCCAAGAGACGTGAAGCGCACACTTGGCCGTCCTGCAACACGATGGAGAGACTCCCTGAAGAAACTTCAAGAAGATGCTGGCCAACACTGGGCCCAAACCGCTCAAGATCGTCAAAAATGGAGGGAAGCGTGTGCTCGCCGCTGAGGATCTGACAACGAGCATCCAGGTATCCAAGTATTCGAAAGTGGCTCTTACGATAATTGATCGCCCGTCCGTAATGAAGGCGGAGAGGTTAATGAAGCAGAGGTGAAGAAAAACCGAGATAAGCCGTTTAGACAGAGCGGTAACCGAAGAAAGGCGTGAATTACATTGTTCTGGTGTAGCCACGTACGATGCGCGACGCATTGACCCGTTGAAACGTGTGCTCGCCCTCGTTTTCTTTGCGCTCTCGATGAAGGGAGAACGCGTCGAGCAAACTCGCCAACTGTATTAAGCGCCGTTCATATAGGAGGTGGAGGATGGACACACGCTCGCGCGCTGCGCTCAGGCTCCCCGCCCGCGCGGCGGAGCGCACGCTGCGACGCTCGACCATTTTTCGATTGCTGCCCTGAACCGAAGGGATAGCGTCGTTGTTGGCATGACCTTGAGAATGGCTACCGCAGAAAGCGGTCGCTGCGAGCGCAATGTGCGTGATTGCAGCAGGAATGTCGTAATTCGCGCTTTACTTCAGGTGCTCGCTCTGTGCAAACGGCTTATCCAAGAAAAAAAAACAAACCATGAAACGACCACAAATCCTCGATGACTATTGCTGCCTTGACTGACTTCCACGTTGTGGCGAGTTTCATTGGTGATTTCATTAAAACTGCTGAAACCGCTAGAGTCCGACGGTAAGGGGATAGCCATTCGGTGGGTTGCAAAGCCACGAGCGCCGCTTATACGGCCCTGCTAAACCGCTAGTGGTGTAGCACTGTGAAACGTGTGTCATCCCTCATCCTTAGGGCCCCTCTCTTGCTGCATCAAGGAGGCACTGGGTGAGACGCGAGGTGGATGTAAAGGAGACAAGGCAGCATGTTTCCGGAACGAAAAGGTTCAGCGGGTCGTGAAGCGAAAGAAGGAAGCACACGAGCTGGCAGAGAGACACAAAGCCCTGAGGACCTTGCTGTCTAGAAAACCTGCAAGAGAATCGCGATGGCTGTCGTCGCCGAAGCGAAGAACATGGAGATGACGCCTTGTGCGATAAACTGGAAAGCAGAATGCAGGGAACTTCGACTTCGTGCTGGCTAAAGCACGGCATAGGGCTACGCTAGACATTCCAGCCGCCATCCATAAGGGAGAGTTCTTCAGGGAACTTCTGAACAAAGAGTTCCCCCCCCCCGCCTCCCACCCAAGAACAACTCACGGGCAGAGACCACAGCTGGTCCCATCGTACTCTGAACAGGAAACAAGGTTCGGTGTGAGCAGCATGCCGGATGCTTAGAGAACAAGTACTATCGTCCCCCTCTCCAAGCGGATGGGCGCGTGATGGACTGCTCCAGCTAACGCGGGATCAAGTTGACTGTTATTACGAAGTAGTACGAGCGACTAGTCGCCTCGAAACTGCGGGAGCTGGTCCCGATCTCCAGTCAACAGTTCGGGTTCATGTCCGAAAGATCTACAACACAAGCCATCTTCATCGCAAAGCAAGAGATGAAGAGTGTCAGCCTGTCTCGACCTGGAGAAGGCGTTCAACCGGCTACCGCAGGCAGTACTATGGAGATCATGGAATGTACCAGAACACCTGATCTCTCTGGTAAAGAACATGTAAGATGGAGCTAAGGAGCTATACGCACCCCATACGGCCTAACGAAGGAGGTGGACATCACGGTCGGGATGCACCAAGGGTCAGCTCTGAGCCCGTTCCTCTTCTTCCTAACACTAGATGGCCTGGTGAGGGAGCTCATAGAGAGACCAGTGAAGACAATTCTACGCGTACGACATCGCGATTGCGGATAGCAAACAGGAACTTCAAGACAGGGTGCAGAAATGGCAGGAATTTCTGGCAGAAGGTGAGCTCCGGCTGCGTGTCAAGAAGACCAAGTTCTTGAGCTCTGAAGAGGGTACAGAACAGACCGTAGACGGCCAGACCATCGAAAGGGTGGAGGACCTCATGCTATCTTGGAAGCGATTTGGCAGCCGACAGTAGTGTGGATCAGGTGCTCCAGAGCGCTCGAAGGGAAGGTGTGCCGGACTTTAGTAAGGCCTGCGATGTTCTACGGCAGCGAGTGGTGGCCCCTCAACAAGAATCACGAAAGGCGGCTTCACTCCGCTGAGATGAGGCTGGTCAACCTTAGTGACGTAGGAACATCCTGTTAGGGCGCTAATTGTTGAGGGGCTGCATCCATTAGGCATTATTGCAACGCTTCCCACCCACTGCACGTGCACGCTCGCGTCTTCTGTCTTCATTTATCGCTTTGTCTCGCCGTCGCGCCACACCCGACCTTGCTGGAGATTAGGGCCTTGATTGCGTTTCCGAAGGCTTCTTTTCTTACTTTACTTTTCACATCAGGTTCGTTCGCAGCTCATCCATCATTATTGTGCGCTGCGGGGTTCGCCTTCAAAGAAAACATAATTGCAAAGAGCAAATGCTTTGCGTCCACCAGCATCAATCCATTGTCTCACCAACGTGACCGTCAGCACTACCTCTCGGCCAAGCTACTGCTTTCAGCGTATCTCTGCTGGTGTCTCTTACAGCGAGCCTCCATTTTAACCACCTCCGCAGCCCTTTCAGAAAATCGTTCCGCGAATTCGGAAGGTGTTTCGAGGTCAGCGTTCGAAAACACATCAGTGTTTATAGGCTTTATTACGAATGGCCACCTGGAAACTTTTCCACGTTAGTAAGAATAAAAATGAATAAGCAAAGGTGTCGAAGCGCGGCTGGGAATTATGGAAAATTCAATGGGAAGATACAGCCTTTCATGGGCTTCGCTTTAAAAAGCTTCCACTGTAGCAGCAAAAGTAGTGAACTATGAAATTGAACCTGCGGAGTGACCTCCTCTTGGAGAAAGAAAATTAGGGGAATGAGGAGGAGAAGATAGCAGACAACGACGGGGTGACGTAGGAACACGAGCTCGTAGCTGTCACGAGAAGGCTGGGTCATAACTTTTTGTCCCATTTCCTTCATGACATCATCAAGAGCTGGAGCAAGGTGGAGCTGTGCCATGGTAGTGTAACTGGTAGCACTACTACGAAAGAGGCGAAAAGTTCTCCACCTGGGGCAATGTTGTGTCCATAACTTAACATTTCTATGACAACCTTCGCATGTTCAACTACGGTCAAAAGTGAAGTTAACAATTGAAAGTCCGTAGCATTTCACAGCCGCCAAGGACTACTTGCACAGAATCAAACTTACTACACAGGTAACTACACCAAAATGCCCCACTCCTCTAAAACATAGACATACTTTGCTTCAAAGCAGTGTTCCAGCTACAGAATTAAACTTTTTCAATGGAAAATTAGGAATATAAATCGCAGAAGGCAAATCAGATAACGTTGCTCTCAACAGTGGAAAGCATATTTCAGTTGCGGTTCGCAATGGTCACTGACTGCTAGTATAATATTCCTGAAATAGTAGAAGTAGTAAAATATAATAAGTAATAATAATAAATATGATAAATAATAATCAATAATAATAATAATAATAAAAAATAATAATAATTATAATAATAATAATAATAATGAATAATAATAATAATAAAATAATAGTAATAATCGGTAATAATAATAGTAATAATAATAGTCCTAGTTTCTAGTGCATTATATGTCATCTGTCTCTCGTCTGTCGTTCTGTATGTCTGCCATCCCTAGCTCCTGGGGATCTGCATAGAGAGACCGGATCAAGTATGGGATGGGTGGGCAAGGTCTCTCGAAGTACAAAACAGAAAGCAGTTAGGCGAAGCTCCGCCCACAGCGGGCGTGGTGCGCATCGTAAGCGGCACTGACGAACAAGACTTTAAACTGGATTCCAAAGCAGGCCAGAGACTGGGGAAAAAGGAGTAAAGGGTGCACTGATGAGCTAGATCGAATTAGGGCGATTCACTTCGATAGGCGGAGCTTTCTCTGAAAAAGCGGTGCTTTATGAAAAAATCACAGCCCATGTTAACAGAGGATAACATCTAAAATAAAGGGGAGTACATACCATACGAATTAATCAAACGATATCAAAACCGTTATGTGTTTTGCCCCCTGGATAAAGCTATTAATAATTATGGCATAGTTTGCAAAAAGTTCTACTTACTGACCATAATGAAAGAAATGGGCATTACCCATGATATTAACAACCACATCTCTGTTAAGGAAAACACTAATAATATATATGAACCAGTACAATGTAACAACAAGTACTCGTTGATATTGAAACACAAATTCCTTCGTGTGAGAAATAATATTAACACATTTGTAGATGCAGATCTACCCATCATATATGCTTTACCTAAACTACATAAAAACCCTATCAAGTTGAGATATATTACAGGTGCACATAAAAGTAGCATCAAACCGCTGGCCCAGGAAATGCACATTATTTTCACGGACATAAAGAGTCACTTCGTTAATTATACTAAAGTAATACAAATAGAAATAGGACAATCAAAACATATTGGTCAATTAGCAACATAAATATAAGTCAAGAT